AATGGCGGTTTCCTGGGTATTTTCAGACATACCTTCAAGTAAACTTTTTTCTTCCTTTTAGTATTGAGATCCATTTCCTAAAACGTTTTATGGACATCCTGTATTATATATTTATTTATGTATGTACTTTGATTATCCTCTGTAGTATATATAAGATTTATTTTCATCATATATGAACACACCCACCCGAAAACTTACGCAAACACATATGCCCGCAACGAAAAAAAAACACTTTGCTTAACAATTTATGCATATGAAATACACATGAGTTTCTATAGAATATAACATTCTAATGGGAACAAAATCCATAGTACCCATGTTAGTCACAAAAGATTAACTGTCCCAATTCTTAATATAATGTTTATATTATTTTACGGTTACTGTTACATCAAAAAACAACAAAATATTGATTATAATTGGTTTTAAATTACAATAGGGTGTAATATATTTGCCGTTCAAATAAATAATAAAATATAAGTTTTCCCTTTTATTTTGTGTGAAAAAATACGAAATGACATATTGTCTAATTGACTCATCTCCACGAATTCACATAGTGTAAAGAATACTTCAAAGATCATTTGAAGACATATCACTAATACATGCATGTAAGATACTGGAAACAAACCTGCTGTAGCTGTGATAATATACAGACAGCTGTAGTGAGACATACAAAGGTTTATTTTATCGAAGAAATCCCTTAAGCTTCCATTTTTTATACATTGTTGCCATTAAAGAATAACGCATTTTTCACGTTAAGAAATATACATAAACATTTTCAAAGTATTATTTTATATACTCATAACTTATGGTCCGATAAAGTAACACCATATTTAAAATATTTATTTTTTACAATCAGTTTTAAATTTCCTTGAGGAATAGTAGCTATCACGTATAATCCAATCTTTTCTAGATTGCTGAAATCTGATAAAGCATTATCCAGTTTTCCTTGATCAAATCTGATAAAGAAAATAAAAATTTTGCTTTCCCATCAAGAAACCTAGAAGCATTTTGTTTTTATTGTATAATGTGTCATTAAACGGGACGTTTTCCGTTTTGTGTTGTGTTTACACTTGACCAGTAGCAATGTCAGATTTTTTAAAAACGATCTATCCTATCGAGTATTTTAAAACGCTTAATTTATTTCAGAATTAAAATTAGTTGTGTGAATTTCTCTAAAACCACTGTTATGATTGAATCGATAAAATACTGTTTTGGTCCAGAGGCAAGTTAATATAGTTTAAAAGTTCATTGTTCATTTGATTAAAGAATGACGTTTAAATTACTAGTTTATATAATCAATAACAATGATATTTGCTTCTAAATTATGTGTATAATGCTATAAAATAAAGGCATTGGCAATAGAGTTGGGTCAGACATTTTACTCTTTGTGTCCAATCAAAACCGATTGGCTGTCTCCTTCTTCTATGTATGAGTTGTTTTACTACTACGTATTTCAGAGGAGGAAAGAAGAGCAATTTATTAGCCTCCTTTATACAATTTCCAGAATTTATCCCACTTTGAATCTTTTGCAACGATGATTCAATTTTTATTAATTTTATATGTTTTTTTATCTTGATTCAATCGATATATCTATTAAATTAGTAGAAGACTTTTAGTTGAATACACAAGTTTCATAACATTCAAACATTGAACTATTTGTATCATATCTTTTCAATCCAGTATATCTACTATAATAAACTACAGTAAGAAATGACACAAATGTAATTATTTGGCTTTGTCTTTACAAGGATACATAATTGTCAAGTTATACATTATTGTTTACGACGTTTAGATATTAAGTTTTGCATTGCAAATTATTATAAAATACAAATATCGATTACATAAAAACTATTATAATGAAAGAAGAAAAATCAGAATAATTTGTTATTAAGAAATCCCATTTTTTGTTTTCAATTTCATGTTATAATTGATTCTAGCCTATCCGAACCGTGTTTATAAGTGCATAAGTAAACCGTGTTTATTTATGTTAATTTATTTTAGTAAGAAGATACGACATCAGTTTAATATTCCTTCGATTTTTTCATGTTATAAATTAGTGTATAAATATACATAATTTAAATTATGTAACAAAAACATGGAAAATTTCAATATGCTAAAAATAAATTTGCGCCTACGCATAATCTTGTTTCATGAGTGAGTATGAGTCTTGATATGGCTACAATAGGTTTTTAAATTACTATTCGTTTATCAGATTCCAATTACCATTTGCTATCTTGAACTTAAACCTCAAAATTGAATTAGTAGGTAATACCCGGTAGTTGTTGACTTCTTCATAAATATTTTCAATTTTGCTAATATCACATCAAACCATTAAGTCAAATCACCTTCCGAATGAGTGTTAATACATCGCAAGTGGTTTAAGATATTTTTAATGTAATTGTTTAGTGAAAAAGATGTGCTGTAAGGATAAACATTTAAAGAGGTCTTTGTCAAGAGGGTTAAGATTTAGTTTAGTGATGACATTTAGTAGAAAAACTTTACTAACTACTACGCTGGCACACACAATTTGGAGATGGAAACCCATAACCATAGGCAATCTGAGTATTCAAAAAGATCCTATGCATTTATCACACCATTTACAATGGTTTCATAAAATAAACAAAGGTCCGAGCTTAGGTAATTTAGTACTTCACTGACAATAAAATTTGCTTCTTCAAGATTCTAATAAAAATCATTGTTTACATTACCGGTATACATTTATCAATAAGAAAAGATTCTGTCCTATTACAATTCAATCAATGATGCTATATATACTTGAGTCAATGATAAAAAGACTGAATACGCTTTACTTATTAACTAACTGTACAAGTGTACAATGCTAAAATAAACAGAACGCCTGAAGATTAACGGACGGATAAGAAATAATATTTTGTAAAAAGCTACTGTTTGTATAGTGCTTGACTAGGTGTTACAACTTAAATCTAAAGAGAACTTATTCCATCCAGACATATCTCAAAGAAACAAATCGTTACAGTCCCATAAAACAACACGCTCACTGAACGATATTTAATTATACCTGACGATCCGATAAATTTTCTCTCTGCAAACATCTGGCTAAAGTGGACGTTGACAGATGGGATTGGTCAAATAGATAACCATTTTGTAAATGTGACTTCTCTATATTCACCCTTTTTATTCTGTACTCCTATGTATAGTTTAGCTGGATACTATTACAGATTCCTAAATAATTGGTTGATCCATTTCAGCTCTATTCATTCCTTAATGGCGTTTTTGATATAATTCTTAGAAATCTATATCGTTACTTGGTTTACTATAAAACTCTACATGACTTACTTGAACAAATTAAATCCAGATAGGCCTACACATTTATTTTAAATGGATAAATTATTTTTATTGACCGAATCCTACAAAAAAGTTAAAATATGAATATTGAGTTGGTCAGGTAGAAAGAAATATGTACTACTTTAGGGTAATGTGTAAAAAGAATTAAAAGAGTAATCGGTTTTATAATTATTACAATAGACAAAGCACGTTGCTAAATAATATCATTAAATCATTAGTTCACATTACAATATGGTTCATTACACTTTGAACATGCATCATAGATCACTTTGCTGTTAAATAACTCACTTGGTTTTAACAACTGATTTAATATACGCGTTTGATTTTATATTAGCTCAACTTAGGCAACGTTTAATAGAATTTCGGTTTGTAATAAAGTCAGTAAATACCCAAATAGTAGGGATAAACTACTTTGAATTTTCTTTATTTGGTTTAAACTTTTAAAATATGTTTTGCATATTGTGGAATCAGAATAAAATTTAAAAATACTTTACCAAATGTGGCATAAAATAAAATACATGCGTTATAGCTATTTTAAAAGGCAAACACATTTGTCTAGTTTTGTCTTTTGCATCCAAGTTACTTAGTTGTTGATGAAAAAGTAGAGAATTTATAGTGTTGCTCAATGTGTTCTAATCCAATATTATACAATCTTCAATTGTTGTAATAAGATAATAAGACAAGCAAATTACACTCTAAACTACTCAACTTATGGAAATTTTACTTAAGAAAGAATGGAATGCCAACTTAATTTAATTCACTTGAAAATATTATTTGTAAATGTATTAGTCAAGTGTGTAGGAATCCAATGAATTATATAAATGCTTTAAGCAAATTCAGAAAACTCCTTCAACATTATCACCTTGTTTTCTTCCACATGTAACCTTCTACTTTGATTTTTAAAACTTCATATGGATTATACAAAAACAATTTCCTCCATTTCGTTTTTGTGTTTCATTTTAATAAAAAAGTGAAATATTCTAAGTAATTTAAAACGTGATCTTTTCCGGGGATTTTCTAGATTAATTCACGTAGAAACGGCTGTGCTATGTTTTAAAGTGAAACAGTCGTTTCTAAGTGATAGAAAAACTGGTCAATCACTATATAGTTAAAACTGGTCAATCAGTTATAATAACAAAAAAAGAATAGTGTACTATAAATTGTGCTAGAAACGTATTAGTTATATTTTTAAAGTTATTAATTTTCGTGTCAATTCTTTTTAGATGAATCTGCTGTCTTAGCTTGCGCGTTTGTTATCATGTTTTAATGACCACACTTTATATATTAGTGTATAATTTAACGATCTCCGCAGGTCGCAATTGTTAAATCAAGTCAACAACTTTGTTATGTAATATGTTCTTAATCATTGTAATTAAAAATCCTTTTATTATTTATTGTAGCACAAAAGCGGTTTTGGAGAACATTTTAATCGAGCCTTTACAATAATTTAATATCATCAATGAAAATAATACCTACTTTTCTACATAGGGAAATGTAAATAGTTTACTTTGATATGTATTTTTTTCAAGTATACTCTTTTTAATTTATTTATTAAATGGCAACGTAGCGTATTCAAAGCTTTTTAGTGTGGGTACCAGTGATAAATACAATTTAATATATTTACCTAATAAATAACAATTTTTGACAAAAACCAATTTAAATTACACTCTTCTTACATGACTTTTTGGTGAGATATGATGAGCAGTAGCATGGTGGTGATGGCGCCAGGCATGGTGAGATGCACACACAGACACAGCCGCGCACTGCCCGCCACTGAACGAAAATTGCGTCGGTTAGAGGATGGGGAACAGTAAGGGGTGGTGGGTGTCGCACAGCTACCCACTAATCCACCCCTCTCCCTCAAGAACTGAGTGCCCCGCAGCGACCGTCTAAGGCAATCTACGACGTAGATGAAATACCAGAAGGATTATAAGAATACTAATACAATCTGTCATATTATAGAGGGGATAACTATGTTATTGTGAGGACTTGTATATTGTTTATTCTTACGTTACAAATATGGTTAACCTAAAAATATATTATTGTGTTTGCATTTATGTATTACTTATAACGCTCTATAAATTAAAGTAAAATTAATCCAATTGAAACCAGTATCCGTTGGGTTGTCATGTATAGTAGGTCTTTACCACTGAAACAGCTTTAATGTCCAAAAAAAAAGATTTTGAGACCTTGTAATCCAAAGGTATACCCTTAAACACATTTTAATATGTTGACTCAAAACCTAAGAAGTGACGCTGATTAATCTTGAAGGTAATATATTAACTGTTTTTTATAATTAAAGCAACATTTATTGATCAATGCTAGTAATTTTGCATGGTCGAATTTTACTGAGCAGTAACCAACAAACTCATGGTTCAAAATATAAAAGGTGTTGATGCCTTAACACCCTGCCTGACATAATGTACCAAGATAATAATGCTATTTCGTTATCCTGTTAAACTAATTAGTTTACTATACATTTGTGTAAAACCTCCATCCATGTGTCTAGGACGTTGCAGTAGGGCAGTATGGGTCTTCCGCATCATCACGTTGTGTCCTACCAGTTAGCACATCAGCACTATTTTTTCGTTTGTTGTCATCTAAATGTGCTTGTTTTGATTTCATTATGCTTTTGCGTGGTCTATTCATTCTTAACTTGGACGACCTTCAAATGAAGCAACAATAAATCTAGTATTAATAAATCTAGTAATGATGAATCCGAAGTTAATAAAAAGTAGTTGCCCAAATACACCACCTTAATGTTCAGGAATTCATATAGTTGCGAATTGATGTATTCATATCAATTATTTAGTAGTGTTTAAATGCAAATAAGGAGGCTTAAATTTAATAAAATGAGGGTATTACGTTCGCTTTACGTTTATACAAAAAAGGAGTTAGTAATCCAGCGAGAATGATAAATATAAAATATTTTGTCAACCAATATAGTTAGACAATCTATATTGGCCTCAATAATTTTCATGTTCTTAGCTGTAAGATATTGTAAATTACTTTAACTTGTTCTCCGAATATATATTTAAAAAATTCAAAGTATGCAATACGGTCATGCTATTTAAAATAAAAAAAAAGGGCCTAGGGAAAGTTCTATACCATATTGCGAGTAAAATTTGCAAGCACCATGATTTTAAAATGGCTCCAGGGAATTGCTCTAAATTTTAAGAAAAAAATATCTTTAAAACATCTTAATTTTTGGCTAAACCAATATTTATGTTCTGTTCTTGGAAAACACGTTTTTGTCCAAGGCTTTAAATGAAATTCTGATATTTTCACCATTGGCCTTATGGTTGGCAAGTAGAAATGATGTGTTACGAAAATGTATATAAACAAATCATAACATAAGATGATAACAAACTATGTACATTAAGCTATCAAATACAAAATACGGGTATAAAAAGACATTCGGGTGGGCACCATATATCATATATGATGCTCAAGAGTAAAGTGATGAGATATAGAATAAATATGATTGTCCTAAAACAAAACATTTTTCGCGTACAGATCACCTTTGTACTGTACTGGCTCACTCCTTGCTTTGCTGGATAGGATCCACGTACGGGCAGTTAGACTATGTCTAGGTTAATCTTTTTTTCTTTTCTTTTTAAGAGTTTCTTTCAGAAAAAATGTTAAACCTTACACTAATATTGAATTAAAAGCCACAAGAAAAAACATGGAGTGTTTTTTTTTTTTAGTTCTCGACTACGGTTGGCGTTGGCGTAGGTAGGTGCATTCTTCCACTATCACATTGATGCAAGGTTCCGCGACTCCAGTGACCAGTTGGTCAACAGATGTTATATATCATGAGTTTGTTGTTGAACTTTATTGTAGACATTTACAAATGGATCAAGACAAAAATATAAATTATAAATACGGACCCGATATTGAAAATCCAAATACGAGACCTTTGAGATCATGTCCAATAGGTTTCCGTGTTTTTTCCTAAAATGATTTCTCCAAATTAGATAGGTCAGATGTCAGTATTATACCAAATAGTTTGTCTGAATTTCCTCTTATATAATGTATCCTAACCTGCTCCGTATATCAACCTTCTGCAGGATCTTCCTCTTGCACATTGAGCACACACTTCTGAACCTTAAATCATAGTTAATTGTTTGGAGTTTGGGGACAGGTTTATGCGCTCATTAGTCGTAATTTCTGTGTAGCCATTTGAAACTACAATATTTTTGGTAAGATATCTCATTTTTCCTTTGTTGAGAAATTATATTTGAGACGGTAAAATGCGTGTAAAATAAATACTCCTTACAGTGATGAACTTACCCTTCAGCTGCATATTACAAAATGATCCATACACGTTTAAATATGTTACCATTACCAACACTGTTTTAAGCTTCAATGAAGGACACATGAGTTGTGTTGGAAATTAAGCTAATTAACCTACAAGCTATAGATCAGTTACCAATTTGTTTACAAATAACCAAATGTTTCTTGTGGAAACAAAAGACGACCTAAATGTTAGTAATTGTTGTACAATTTGAACATCTTAATCAAACATGATAGGTATAAGCTGTTAAAAGTATTTGAATGTATGTCAGTCCTTAAAAGGTTCGTGTAGAAACTGTGTATGGGTTTAATATCTAGATTGCATCCAGTAATTTTGTCAAAACTAGTTTGTTTTAGGATATTTCCTTTTAAGGAAGACGCTATTATAACATATAAATGCTTTGTGGTAGCAGAAGTGTAACATGATCCTCTGTGTTCATGTGTTATTTGATCTGATACGTTTATATTATACAGTCTGCTGGTCTAAGAGTCAGCTATATAAGTAATAAGATCAGTCCAACTCCCTTCTCTAAGAGATGTTCTCCAGTTTTTGCTTGGACAATTTTTGGTATTCGCAATATTCTTTTACCACATTGAAGTTTAATATTTGTATAGATATTTGAAAATATGTTATTTAGCTTTTTATGAAATAAGCATTTGTTGAAAAGCTTATACGTTGGGGCATTGATGGGCCTTAAAAACATAGAAACAAAATCTACAATTGCATGGTTATCACAAAAACATCTTAATCAAAATAAAGTTGATGTAAACTAAAGTGTGGTTTTATGTAGCCAACGGACTGAATGTAATGTTTTAGAGATTTACCACTACAGCTGTTTGAAAAATATTACACATACCAAACTCTTCGTCTCAGCTATGAAACATCGTTTGTGGTAGATGACATGGTTTCAACTCTTATCAAGCCATATTTATATCTAACGAATCTCAAAAGATATCCACACACGAATAACACTTAGCCTAAAAAGAAAACATGGTACACGACTTAACGAGGTATAGATTGAATACAGAATAAATTGGTCTTCTGTATCGTCCAGTGTGTTTGTGTTATGTTTTGTGTTAAATCGTTAGTGTGTAAATCGCGTGTCAAATATGACAGACACATAATTGTTAGGCCCTGATGTACATGAGTATAGGTTGCAGAATCACAAACCCAAGGGACTAGTCAGAAGTGTAAAGGACAATAGTAAAAAATATAAAAAAGTAGCATGTAAATAGCATATGCTATAATGATAAGTATTAATTAATTGCATATGGTTTTGTTTGAGAGTGTCTTTAAGATGTATCCATTTCATTTACAGCAACTGCCAAACCAATCCAAGAAAACTTTAAATTGTAAATATAGTTTAACTATATACCAAAAACTCTCAATCAAACCTACAAGTGTTTTTTTCATACTGAATAAAATATAACGGAAACCCAATCGGGTCAAAATAGTTGCTTTGGCTTTTAGCCAACTCATCAGGAAAAGAGGATAAGCCTTTCAGGCAAAGGAGGATCTCTGAGTATTGGAGATCTTCCCCATTTGTAATAAATTTCAAGTTCCTGTGAGTATTTGTAATATACTTGTTTATAAACACACATATATCTAGCCAACCGTGGTCTGTTGCCTTCTGTTAGAGTACAACGTCAGGTTTTAATTCGATATAAAACGGTAATTTTGTTTAATTGGTACAACATTCCCCAATTAATGTTAACGTTAGTAAAGAGAAATATACTAAAATTTTATAAGTGAGCTTTGAAGATGTTAAGTAGGCAAGTGAAAGTCTTTTTGCGTAGTGAGTATACCTAAATTTATTGATCAATGAAGTAAATAAATAATTAGCATTTTACAATCAACAGTTTCAGCTGCCTATACGTCTTAGCAGAGTGACATTAGTGTATTTTCCTGTACTAAGAGTTCCCGGGCTTTTGGGGAAAATCTAGACGATGTAAAACGTTTAATCTTCAGTAATGAAGCATCGATATTCTTTTGCAGTAAAGTGATCAGACATAATGCATTGGTATTCGGAGAACCAATGCACTTCTTAACCCATGTGGGATTCTTTGAGATGTGTTCGTGTTTCATAAACTATACACGGGTTTTAGGACATAACTAAATTACTACAACCACAAATAAGCTTAATAAACGCCCTTAAGGGCTAATAAAGAGACGCCTAATAAACGCTTAAGAGACAGAGTTGACTCTCGTCAAAGTAATACCACACTTTTTAACTGCCCGTCAAAGGACACTCAAATGTACACATTGTCATTGTCAGAAACCGAATGCACGACCGAGATTTAGCGCGTTTAACTCATGATTTAAAACAAACGGTCACCTTTCACTTTGAACATTGATCGTCTTGAGTACCTTGCGATGGAACAGAGTCTTAAAAGATTTGCCTCCAAGACCTCTACTAGATGGGTGTACCGTGCTCTTATTCGTCTTGGTATTATATGAATGCTATACACA